AACTGTCTCTAATCCAGATGCAAATCTAAATAACTCTGTGGACCAATTGGAGAGCATCAGCTTTTTGTAGCACACGAACCTACCATCTTCCCCCCCCCCCCCCCCCCCCCAATACAACGTACGTACGGTCATTATAGCTGTGTGTATATTTGAGGCATCTTCCAGTCTAGATACAGCTATAATGGCCGTACGTTGAATTCGAGGGAAGAAGGTAGGCCCCTTGTGTATGTTTTTTTTTGTTGTTGTTGTTTTTTTGTTGGTTTTTTTTTTTTTGTTTGTTTGTTTGTCTGTGCAGTTGTGTAGAGCGCACACATGGATGGCAAAACACACACCGACAAGTCACACTGATGGTGACAATCAGAGCAGGGCCATAAGATGGATTGGATTGTTTGTCAGTTAGTTTGTTTGTTTGTTTGTTTGTTTGTTTGTCAGTTAATTTGTTTCTTTGTCTGTCCGTTTGGTTGCTCCGTTACACTGATTGCCTGATTGGTAGCTTCGTTGTACTTTCCGATTTTCATTTCGGTTGATTGGTTGATTAGTTGATTGATTGATTGATTGATTGGTTGATTGGTTGATTGGTTGATTGATTGGTTGCATAACGAATTACTAAGTTAACAAGTTACCGGGTTTTCTGGAATCTGTCCATTTATTTGGCGCACAAGGGATTGGTTGATTGGTTTCATACCGGATTACTAAATTAACAAGTTATTTGATTTTCTGTCTATTCTGTTCATTTATTTGGCATACAAGTGATTGGTTGATTGGTTGATTGGCCGATTGGTCGATTGGTTGATTGGTTGATTAGATGATTGGTTGATTAGATGAATGGTTGATTGGTTGATTGGCGAATTACTCCGAAATCGTTCGTAGCGGAGGACAACCGAGTACAAGCGAGAGCGTGAGAGAGAGAGAGAGAGAGAGATCGAAGAGGAAAGGGAGGAGCTTAGGAGAGAGAAAGAGGAGACAGAGAAATGAAATCACCACAGATCGCTACGATCTTGAGATAAAGGACAAGCAGGGAAAAGGGAGAACATGGAAGGGTGAGAGACAGAGAGAGACAGAGAGAGACAGAGAGTGACAGAGAGAGACATAGAGAGACAGAGAGAGACAGAGAGAGAAAGGGACGGAGAGAGAGAAAGAGAGAAAGAGACAAAGGGACAAAAGGAGAAAGAGAGAAAGAGAGAAAGAGAGAGAGAAAGAGAGAAAGAGACAGAAAAGGACAAAAGGAGAGAGAGAGAAAGAGAGAGAGAGAGAGGGGAGACCAACATGTCGTTGAAGACGTCGTTTTTTTCCCTCTGACGTGTATATATGTATGTATGTGTGCGTGAGTAAGAGGGAGAGAAGAATGCTCGTGCCATTCGCGACGAAACGCAGGAAGAGGAGATGGGTTGAATGAGAGAGAGAGAGAGAGAGAGAGGGAGAGAGAGAGAGAGAGAGAGAGAGAGAGAGAGAGAGAGAGAGAATTACGAATGTTCTTCATCTAACCGGCAGGCGCAGGATTGGTAAGGGGAAGGACGGAAGGCAGAGGGAGGTAGACGGGGGGAGAGGGGGGGAGAGAGGGGGAGATGGGGGGAGATGGGGGGAAAGGGAGGGGAGAGCATTGCTCGTACCGGTTCATCACGGGCATGGACAGAGGATCGAGGGCATTATTCGTAGGCGTCATTCTCGCCAAACGGCGCAACTCCCGCCAAATGGTGTCGTTCGCGCCAAAAGGCGTCATTCCCGCCCAAAGGCGTCATTCCCGCCAAAAGGTGTCATTCCCGCCAAGACAACCAAACGCTACATTGCCATTCACCAAAGGGAAGTTCTACAAGGAGTGCCACCTCACTGCACTCTGCCCTTATTGCAATATACATTATGAACAAAAAATACAGAAAACCAGAGAGAAAAGCCACCATGCCTGTATTTACAATCCTCTCTCTCTCTCTCTCTCTCTCTCTCTCTCTCTCTCTCTCTCTCTNTCTCTCTCTCTCTCTCTCTCTCTCTCTCTCTCTCTCTCTCTCTCTCTCTCTCTCTCTCACACACACACACACACACACACACACACACACACAGAAACACAGACAAATGCACACATGCATGCACACACTCGAGCATTTACAGACACAGAGAGGAAAGCTTTGCAGCTGTCGATCGCGTAATAAATACTAAAGATTCACCATTTCCGTCGCGAACTGATGTTGTTTCCTTCTGGGCCTTTGTGCTTTCCCGCTAACCGAGAAAGACAAAAAGAAAAGAAAGAAAATCATCCCCACACTTCACACGCCTGAAACTTGTTTTATACATGTTCCCCACCTGACGGTTCTCTCTCTCTCTCTCTCTCTCTCTCTCTCTCTCTCTCTCTCTCTCTACTCAGTCACGCACATCTCTCTCTATCTATCTATCTATCTATCTATCTATCTATCTATCTATCTACTCAGTCACGCACATCTCTCTCTCTCTCTCTCTCTCTCGCTCTCTCGCTCTCTCGCTCTCTCTCTCTCTCTCTCTCTCTCTCTCTCTCGCTCGCTCGCTCGCTCTCTCTCTCTCTCTCTCTCGCTCTCGCTCTCTCGCTCTCTCTCTCTCTCTCTCTCTCTCTCTCTCTCACACACACACACACACACACACACACACACACACCATAATTGGTCTGTGTTAAGCATCAAATCAATCAATCAATCAATCAATCAATCGGTCGATGGGTCGATCAAGAAGCGGCCTTGAGTTTCTTGGCGACCGTGGCCAGCATCTTTCCTTGGTGAAGAGCGAGATCGAGCTCCAGCTTGGTGGGCATTCTGTCCCCCGCGCCAGCGAATGTGCCTGCCCCGTACGGCGAGCCCCCTCTCACCTCGTCCATCTTGAACATCCCTGCACCAAATCCATATCCAACAGGAACGAAGATCATTCCATGGTGCGTAAGTTGAGTTATGGCGGTGAGCGCCGTCGTCTCCTGCCCCCCTCCCTGCGTCCCCGTGCTGATGAAGATTCCCGCGGGCTTTCCCGCCAACGCCTGCGACTGCCACAAGCTCCCCGTCGAGTCGAAGAACGCTTTCATCTGTGCCGCCATCATTCCGAATCTGGTCGGGAAACCGAACACTATTCCGTCTGCTTCCGCCAGCTTCGTCGGCGTGATGATCGGGATCCCCGCGGGCTTCGGCGGCGCGTGCATGCGCCCCAACACCTCCGGCGACAGCGTCTCCGGGACTTGGTACACCTGCGCCTCGCATCCCGCCACGCTGTTGATCCCCTCCTTCACGCTCTCTGCCAGCTTTGCAACGTGGCCGTACATCGAGTAGTACACGACAAACACTTTGGTCACAGGCATTTTTTGACGGCGATAACAGCAGATCAGTAAGCCGCGATCCCAACACAAGCCGGGATGAGCGCAAGCGGAAGGCAGACACACGGGAGGAGCAGCAGCAGGAGCAGGGACCACGTGGGACAGCTCAAGTACGGCCACGTGGCAGGAGAAGGGACACACACAGAGGACAGCAGATCACGCAGCCGCGATCCCAACAACCCCAGACGAGCCAAGTAGAAGACACGCAGGGAAGGGCCGAGAAGAAGCGGGGACCACGTGGGACAGCTCAAGTACGGCCACGTGGGACAGCTCAAGTACGGCCACGTGGCACGAGCAGGGACACGCACAGAGGACTGCAGGTCACGCAGCCGCGATCCCAACAGCCCCAGATGAGCCAAGTAGAAGACACGCAGGGAAGGGCCGAGAAGGAGCGGGGACCACGTGGGACAGCTCAAGTACGGCCACGTGGCAGCAGCAGGAGCCAGGGACACACACAGGACTGCAGATCAGGCAGCCGAAACCCAACGACCCCAGATGAGCCAAGCAGAGGACACGCAGGGAAGCGCCGAGAAGGAACGGGGACCACGTGAGAGAGCTCAAGTACGGCCACGTGGCAGGAGCAGGGACACGCACAGAGGACTGCAGATCAGGCGGGCGCAACTCAACGACCAGAGATCAGAATGGGGTGAAGAGGACACACACGAAAGGGCGAGCAGGAGCAGGCGCAGGCGCAGGAGCAGGAGCGGGAGCACGGACCGCGACTGAAACAACTCGAATACGGTCCAGTGAGATCAGAATGGGGTGAAGAGGACACGCACAGAGGACTGCAGATCAGGGGCAAGGTCCCACTTGAGCAAATTAGGAGATTTCGGCCGTTGATCTTTGCTATCTACGGTCAGTATCTCTTAATTCGTGCAAGTGGGACCTAGCCCCAGAATGGGGTGAGCGGGAGTAGTAGCTAGCAGCCACTGCGCATAGCCGATGGTTTCACTCGCACACCACCAGAGAGAGAGAGACCAGACTTTCGAATCCAGATCCGGGGCAAGGTCCCGCTTGCACGGATTAGGAGATTTCGGCCGTTGATCTCGGCCATCTACGGTCTCTATCTCTTAGTTCGTGCAAGTGGGACCTAGCCTCCGGATGTACCTCCTGGGGCCTGCGGCCGGTCAGCAGAGGAAGATGACGTAGGGCCAGATCCCACTAGCCACTATTGTTCATTTCTGACCGTTGATCTTCCTAATAGAGGGTCAAAAATGAATAATCCAGGGAAGTGGAATCTGACCCGTAGTCCGAGAGTAGGCCACCAGTTCGCAGCCCGTCAGGGTTGCGTTTCTCCCCCTTGAGACATTTCAACGTCAATCAAATTTCAACGTCGGTGGTCGTCGGGAGGGTGGGCATTTTGAGGTTTTGGGGCCTTGCAAGGGCCAGGACCGCGTAGGACCGGTAGCTGCCCGTAGGAGGCCGAGGAGGCCGCAGTACGGGTGCACTTTTCTCAAATTTTCTCGAATAGCAGAGTGCCTCGAATAGAAATTGTACACGTTGTGTTTGAATACAACGTGTACCCTTTCTATTCCGATTTTGAAAAGAAAAAACTCTTGTATTCCAATACAATTACTACTTTTTTTTGGAGATCAGCGCCTGCCGTTGTGCTCCCCGCCA